CTGTGCTCTCAGGTTTTTTCACGTCTAGACCTCGCAAAATTTTAAGAACCTCCTTGTTTTACATAGGAGTAACGCAGTAAGGTAGTTGATATGGTACGCTGTTGCTACTGTCCGGACGCAAATTGCAAGCAAAAAGAGAAGCAAATAAGCCCGCTTTCTCTTTAGGCGATCATGCGCCAATGAGCCATCTGGTTTCACCATTTACCAATACGTTTAATGCTATTGAAACTACTATGCCCTAATGCCTTTTTGCACCCGACACTAATAAATGGCTGCGTCACTACATGTTCTTATGCGCGACGCAACTGTCAAGACCTCTCTCTTTTTGGTTTTTCTGAGGGGTATAATGCCTACCAAAACTGGCTCTTCCCATACCAGAAGACCAAACACGCTGGGAGGACGCGTGAAATTTTGCCTTGTGGATGGGGCTCTCCCAGCTGGTACAACAAGCGACTAGCAATTGCTACGACCTTCTGCCGACGACCGATCCAGACAGATACAACGTTCCGGTTACTTCAACCTTGGGAACTTCTGACCACTATCAGGTGAAATCTGTGTCGTTATATACCCAACTAACTACAATTTTTACGGTGTGTGGCGGGTGTGGCGATACAAATCAGTAAATTGGGATGAGATGCGGCATTTATTTGCATCTTATCCTTGGCGGCAGTTCTGTGTGTCGTCTGAAGATCCGTCAAGCTGCGCGGATACCATAATTGATGTGATATGTCAAGCGATGGAGTACTTCATCTCCTTTGCTGACGTACCCATTGGTGGTAAAGCCCCCATGGTTCAACGTCGAATGCGCGCGTGCAGAAAAGCTCAAGCATATTTAGTAATTATCCTGGGTCAATGCTCAAGACCACAAAGCTCTGGATATTAGCTTTAGGAAGAGAGTCTTTTACCAAGCTGCCAAGTCTCGTAAAAAGGCATTACGCCATAGTAGTTTCTATAGCATTAAACGCATTGGTACAAAGCTCTCTAACAAATCATCTGACAGTAGAGCTTTTTGGTCAATCGCCAAAAGGGTCCAGACAAACTTCTATCGGTTTATACTGACTGACTTAAAACCAGATGGTTCACTGGCGCATGATCGCCTAAAGAGAAAGCGGGCTTATTTGCTTCTCTTTTTGCTTGCGATTCGCGTCGAGACAGAAGACACAGCGTACCACATCAATTACCTTACTGCGTTACCCCTAAGTCAGAGGTCCATATACCCAACAAAGAGGTTCTTAAAACCTCTTAAAACCTTCTTAAAACCGAAGTGTAGACGTAAACAAAGCTAGTGGACCTGATGGTTTACCAGCTATAGTTCTAAAGGTCTGTGCACCTGAGTTGTCTCCTGTGTTGACGCACTTTTTCCGCCTCTCATTCAAAACTGAAATAGTGCTCAAACCTTGGAAGCTGGCTCATGTGTTGCCTGTGCCTATAAAGGTATCTGTGCCGACCCTATCAACTATTGGTTAATTTCAATCACCTTCATAGTCTGCAAGATTATGGAGCGTATATTTAACGCCCACTTAATGGCAACTTAGAACATAATGATCTTTTTGGTTACGGGAAAAACCCGTATAACCGGTTACTAAGAAGGTCATCGTATAGTGGCGGTTAAGAATATCCACTACCCCATAATTTCCTGTGGGTGTCGTAAAAGGCGATAGAGGGAAACAGGCATGAGATGGGCAGCAGCATCTTCCAGCAACTGTACAAAAAGAAACAAAATAATACGGTTGCAAACCTGCTCGCCATGCGTGGCTACTATGGCAATATACCCCCCCATGATGAGAGTTAGTAGCCAGTCAGTAGCCCAGTCCCCGGCAGCCCCGCTATTCCTGGCTACGGTGGCGACCATAGCAATGGCGGGGCAAGGGGTGCTAAGAATCACCGGTGGAGGTTCGGTTGCCAACACCTGGCAACATCAAAGCATACACCCTGAGGACCGACGAGAAGATCCTGGAGCTGGAAGAAGAGATATAAAAGTTGCTCTAGAATATTATAGGATTATCCGAGGTCCGAAGAGAGGGGTAGGATACGTTGATTCTTGAATCCGGCAATTTGTTCTATCACCGGGAGGGCAAACATCTGTCCCAAGGAGGTGTTGGACTTATTGTCCACAAGTCTCTCGTTAACAACGTTGTAAAGATTGGTAGTGTGTCGGCGACGGTTGCGTACTTTATACTCAGAATCACCAAACGCTATTCGCTGAAGGTCACACAGGTTTATGCACCAAGTGGAGAAAATGTATGAGGATATTTATATAGCCATGTTTTACTCCAAAACTCACTATACGGTGTTAATGGGAGACTTCAACGCAAAACTAGGCAAAAGAAAGAACAGTGAGCTGAAGGTAGGGAAATTTGGGATAGGGCAACGGAACCCAAGGGGCCAGCAGCTGGCCGATTTCATGGAGAAAGAGGGACTCTTTATGATGAACTCATTCTTCCAGAAGCGGTTTCACAGAAAGTGAACCTGGTCGAGCCCCGACGGTGCGACAAAAAATAAGATTGACTTCATTATGACGACTAGACGGCAACTGATCAATTATGTCTCAGTGATCGCAAGGATGAAAACTGGCAGCGATCACCGAATGGTTAGGTCTCGCCTAATGAAGTCAACGCTCCGTCCCACTCGTGCTCTTATCCAAAATCCTTAAACATTTCAGCTCGAGCTTCAAAACCGCTTTCAGTGCATAGAACATACGAATGACAAGCTCGTGGAAACTGTCCATGCGGTTGCAGCTAAGTTCTGCAAGACCCGCCGCAGAAGAACACGAAAACTTTGATTAAAACTACTTTTACGTATTTTATTGCGTTTATTTTACTATTATTTTTAATTCTCCGACGTTTCGGGCACTTTCCAGCACCCATAGTCACGGGGGACTGAGATGACTGACGTCCCGATGTCATTGTTAAACCCGGAGTACCTTCAGCTTTCTTAATTATTGTTTATGGTCCGATCTATGCAAAATGATAAACAATCAATGTGTAGTGTTCGCGTAAATATAACAAATCATTATGTAACACGAAAACTCTCCGATCACACTCTTAATCTCATGGCTGTTAGAGATGAGGCTGTAATCGTCAGCAGATTTGACAGCATACAGGCAACTGAATAGACAGATCTCCGAATGCCGGACTCCGGACTTACGCAACTTTAACAATGCTCGTATTGAAGAAGCGATCGAGCGGAACCAGGGCTCCAAAGTCTTTACCAGAGATCTGTCTACCAGAAAGTGCCAAAGTCAAACTGTCAAAGCTGAAGACTGAGTGTGGCAGCATCGTTTCCGGGTCACCTAAGATTTTGAGTGAGATTTGGAGGTTCTATAGGCATCTGTACACATCAACGTTGGAGCCACACGCATGTGTGAGTAACGATCCAAGAGCAATTCTTATCCGACACTATTCCGAAGATATCCTGGACGTCAGCCTGAGCAAGATTAGAATGGCTCTCCAGCACCTTTAAAACGGTACAGGCGAGGATGAAATTACAGCCGAGCTTCTGAAAGCCGGTGGAACAACGGTACTTAAAGCCCTTCAGAAGCTCTTCAATTCCGTCCTCTATGGTAGCACTACTCCGGAGGCGTAGAGCAGAAGTACGGTGGTATTATTCTTCAAGAAAGGCGATAACGCTCTCTTGAAGAACTACAGACCGATTTCCCTTCTGAGCCGCGTCTACGTGCTGTTTTCGAGAGTCATTACGTATCGTCTCTCACGCAGACTCGACGACTTCTAGCCTCCCGAACAAGCTGGTTTCCGAAAAGACTTCAGTACCATAGACCATATAATAAACCTGCGGCAGATTGTACGGAAGAACGAAGAGAACAATCTGCCTTTTTGTCTGGTGTATGTGGACTACGAGAAAGCCTTTAACTCCGTCGAAATTTGGGCGTTGCTACAGTCCTTTCGGTGGTGCCAAGTTGACTGGCGGTATATCGAAGTGCTGAAGTTTTTTTTAATAGGAAAACGATGACAAGCGAGCACAGTCCACTTGATGGTAAGTGGTTATTGTGGCCCATAGACATCGATATCTATCCTCGTTCGCGAATCAAAATGAAGATGCGTTGTCAGCCTTGAGGACTAAGATGGAATGCCTGTTTTCCAGTAAAAAGGGTCGCCAGTTCTCTACACTCACCATACGAAACACAGCAGCATTAAGCTGCTATTTGACGCTTGTATTCTGTGAGAGCGTGGTCCTTGCCCGGTCGAGCCGACTCGTTCGTGCTACAACTATACAATTAATATAGCTGGGTCATTATCAGGCGACTCATTATTTGGTTGATTTCGGTGGCATTTTTTGTTTTTAAATTTAGGCCTTACTAACATAAAATATATATTCTAGAATTAATTTAATACTTATATATATGTAGAAGAGGGAATCGTATAAACCGAATTGTTAAGAAGGTATTTAATTAAAAAAAAAATGGTGTCCACCGAAATCAATATTTTAATCACCGAAATCAAAAAAAATATAAAATAATTTATATTTCAAAGATAATTTTCTTAAGGTAAATTTACTGCCTAAGTACTACTATGAACTTATGATCTGTAAAGAATTGTAGATTAATTTGACAATAAAAAAAATTATTTTATCAAGACTTATGTGTAACCATTTTTATTAATTTTTGCGAAAACTTACAAAAATCAACTTTGGTAGAAAGCTTTAAATTATTATATTAAATGTCATTAAAGATAGTAGTCTTAACATTATAAGAACTTAAAAAAAAATCAGCATTCTTGGTCGAGATCTAGCTTAATCACAGGCAATTTACTTATTGAAAAAATTTACTACAAAATCACTTAAAAATCAATCCTTTAAACAACATCAACAATTGTAGAAGGCACTTACATAACTAGTAGTATTTGTATTTTTAATAAAAATATTACTTTGTCTTTTGATTTTAAGACAATTAAATAAGCTTTTCGGTATAATAATCACCCAGCATTAAATTACAATGTAATAAACTTCTTATAAAACTTTGTATTACAGTTTTCAATCCTTAATTAAAAAATGTTATATTCCTCGTCACTACTTTCTTTACAATTTACAATTTTGGAGACTACTTCATTCATTAATGTCGGAGCAATATTTTCACAATCTGTCGAAACACGTGTCCAGAAGCTGTCACTTTCATGTAATCCAATGTCTGAGGGTAAGGTACGGGACAGGCGCTGTTTGGTTTCATAGAACTCATCAGCAAGATCAACAGAATAGCTACAACCAGGTTGAATTAGAATATTCGATAAAATTTGAGGCTTATTAGATTCAGTTGCACTGACTCCACTCCCTTTTTTGGCTTGACTTGACTTTTTAATCAGATTGATTTTGTCACTCTTGTTCTTGTTCGTTCTATCAGTCAACAGTCTATCAGCTTGCTCGCCTATGATATATAATCCTACATGATATCCATGTTCACATGACACAGAATTATTTTTACATTCACCTTCGGCGCAACTCATTTTTCTCATCGATAGTTGGTTGGGCTTATTGGCGTTCCATACTGCCTGATGTACTTTCATAGTCCCTGTAAATTGCTTGAGATTGAATGAAATTAGCAATTCTTTTTTATAAATACCGGAATCGTCAATAGTTTTCGTTATAATACCTTGAACAGATTTCAGATGAGTCATCAATGATGATAAGCTTGGGATATCATTGCCTTGAGCAACTATTCGATCAGCTGTTATTTTGAGTGTTGCACAGACACCATCTGGGGCTCCATTTCCATGGCCACTTTCTGTCATTTCACTTTCTGTTGTTAATTCCATGTAATACTAGTCAAACTGGGAAAGTACCAATGGAGTTTACTGATGATATAAAACATTTTACGGTTTCGATACTGAGCCGACGGACTATCAGAAATGAAATGTAGTATAGATTCCGATTAGGAAGTAAATGTTCCCCAAAGGCTGGTGCATCATGGCGTAAAGACTCTAATAATGTACACATCGACTGAACTTTCAGAAGTCCATTTTTATGATAATAAATGACCACGGTGTGCAGGGTTATTTGTTGTCGGTTACCCCCGAAATGAACGCTTGAATTTCATTACCGTATTTTGTGCTGTAATTTTCACTAAAGTCGCAGTGAATTATACACTCTTCCTCAGTGAGGTCGCTTTTCATTTTATTTAATAAACTAGTTTTGTGCGATCATAAATCCACAGTAAGTCGTGTATGAAGGTAACATTTTTTCAAATTTTAAAATGGTGTCCTTGGGTAAAGTAGTCACTTTATCTTTCGTTGTGTGAATGGTTGTTTTTGTAACACCATTCTTGTAATAAATTCTTTTACTTTTTTGTCAAATCCAGTAAAACAATACTTCAGTGTTATTGAATTCATTATAGATTAAGCTTTTATCTTTGCAGTCATCGCATTTTCTAGTTAAACATGACACATTCGAAGAGTCACAGCACAGTGATGACAAAATACCTTTGGTAGATTTTTCTTGAATTAAGTTTTTTTTTTAAAGCAGTCACCATCAAGTCCATATTTTCATGTTCGATACAAAGACAGGATTCCCCTTTATTTACATTAGGTTTCATTATCCAAAACGGTCGTTTTTTGCAAAAACTGGAGTAACTAATTTTATTTTGGGGATTTGTTTGCTTAAACTTAGTATATAAGTCTTTTAAAGAATCATTTAAATAGCGTCTTTGTTTTTTATTCTTTTTCTGGGTAATGAACTCTTTCTTCCCAGAACACATACGACTGTTTTCATCTTCTTCAAGAAAAGTTTTGATGTCCTCTTTCACATTATTTTGTTTTTATAGTGTCTGATTCACTTTGTTTAATATCTTCAGTATTATTTTTACTTATATGTCCATATTCTCATAATTTAGCACTTTGGTATTTTAATCTATATATCTGTTTTCGCTGTCGTTCGTTGACAATCTTCAATTGATCAATCTTCTCTTTCTGTAACTGATATATTTTGTTCATGCGGTATTTAAGTCTACATATGATAACTTTGGTATTCAGTTTCTTGTTAGCTTTTGGAGTTGGAGGAAACTCTTTTTCAATCACACGAACTGATGATCTTGTGGCTTTGAAATTTTACTTACGTCACTAGACGAACTCAATGGTGCTGACGAGCCTCGATAAGCCTTAATACGCTGAGGTGAAGTAAATGAAACGACGGATGAACTTGATGGTAGCAAATCAACATAGGAACTTGCTTCAGTTTGAAGCAATTCTGATCGTATTGTTTGTGATTGTGAAGTCACCAAAGGATCGTCAGTATTGTCGGTTACTTCTGGTACGATTATTAAATCCTCTTCAAGACACCTCATCTCTTTACACCTTCTTTTCAAATTGTGTTTGTTGGAAGATATTCTACTTTTCTCTCTAAAAATTCGTTGTTGACGAGGATCTAATTCACTTACAGACTTTATCTTTCCTTCATTCTTCCTTTTATAATACCGTTGTCTATCTTTCTCTTTGTGCACTGCGTAAAGCTCTGGATCACTCTTAACGCGAGCTTTCCGACGTCGTTCAGGCAATCTCTTTTTAGCCAACCGATCTTCTTTTGAATCTGACATAATCTCAATACTGAAACAAGATAAAGGGTGGTAAGAAAGTTAAATTTACGATAATAAAATGTAAATAAATAACGATTGATTGATTTCGGTGATTTCAAAATTTATTTCGGTGCACCTATTTCCACCGAAAACACCGAAATAAATGCCACTGAAATCAAAATAATTAACAAAATCCTAAATGTTTTCAAAAATAAACTGATTTTTTTTATATTAACCTCTTTTTTTGAAATCTAATATAATAATATACATACAATATACATAAAAGACATAATTTTATTATAATTTAAAAATATTAATTCAAATAGTTGTGGATAAAATGGATTCAACGAAATCAATTTTAGGGGTATACCAAGCCACCGAAAACGATTACGTACCTCAATAAAAGAGTGAAGCGGTAACGCACAGACGCGTTGATCTTACCACCAATGCGGCGCGACTGACAGTTTGTATAACTCGAACAACTATTCTCAAAGTCACTAGAGTATGGGATAAGCTGAGAACAAATTATCGGACGCGTCCGTCAGCCGCGGCTGACAGACGCGGCTTAGCGATGTGCACGGTAGTCGAGACGGCGTCTTCGGACGCCTCGCTTCGGTCATTCCATAAAGGTTTGTCATTCGAGAAATATGACAAGCAGCGACAGCGAGGATGAATCTATAAAGTTAGCGGCAGCTGTTTTATGTTGTCCTCCTAAAAAAAGGGAAAAGGAGTGCTTGGGTCCATGATATTAATGTAAAACGACTCGAGTATGATGAATTTCATACATTGTATCCAGACTTACAAAAAGATGATAAACGTTAAAAAATTTACTTAAGAATGTACTAATATGTACTTATAAATATAGGCATTCGTGGCCATGAACAGATTCAATTATTTTTTTTCATTACACATCATGTCGCGAGCGCAGTTGGTTCGCTTGTGACACTCGAAACGTCCGCGGACGCGTCCCGTGCCCCGTTCACACTGTCCGCGGACGCACCAAACATCCAGCTGGCCAGATTCTGTTCGGACGTCCGAACGCTCAAGAGCGACGCAAGGTCATGTCCGCGTCTTATGGCCGATAGTATGCACAGTTTAATATTAAATGTACTGGCTAGATTTCAATAAGCCGCGGCTGTCAGCCGCGTCCGTCAGCCGCGTCCGATAATTTGTTCTCAGCTATATATGAACGGATTGGTGCGCGCCACTGATATCAATCCTAAACGTTGGACGTGAAGACAACCAGATGTAACTTGACTACTAAGGCCTATTGTGCTTTAGTAATATTATAAATGAAATTAATAACTATCTAGTTGTTTGTGAACACATGACAAATAGTGCCGAATATTGGAGAAAAAATAATTGCCGTCGCAATATGGTGCCGGACGCGGCAACGAGGTCAATATTTTCGAGGTTTTTAATTTTTTTAACTAACTTATATTTAATATATTCAAAAAAAGAACATATGCCCCTCCTAATATTTTGATCGTACCTGTTATAGAAAAAAAATATCAAGTTGTTAGTAATCCATTTCGTACTGGATTTCGACCCGGACACGCCTTTTTTGAGCCGTCTGAGAATGACCGAGCTGCAGCATGGCTCTACCACGTAAAGAAGTGTTTGTACAGTAGGGCTACGATGGCTATCCGAGTACAGAAATAGAGTTCGAAACCTATCCGACTACAGAGAGGTGTAAGACAGGGTGACGTTATATTCCCGAAGACGTTTTCAAGTTACTTAACTGGAAACGATACGGTATTAAAATAAATGGCGAGTACATCACTCACCTTCGATTAGCCTAGTAGATTAGATTAGTTGAATTTCAAAATTCTGCTGACCGTCTCCTTGAAATTAGTCCACATTATGCACTTTGCATTTTAAAATTCTGTCTTTTCGTCCCAAAATTTACGTATGTGCTCCGTTGTTGCTCCTTTTGGAATCACCCAGACCTCTTGACACAAGTAGACAACTTAATCAAAATTAATTTAGAATCGATTCTTAATATACACCTGAACGAGCAATCTTGGACCCAAGCATCCCTACCCATCCGTTATGGTGGTTTAGGGATTCGCAAAATTTCCAGTGTCTCTTTACCAGCCTTCCTATCTTCTATAGTTCAGCAAATCTCATAAGTAAAATTTTAGGGGCATCCCCTTCAAACTTTGAAATTGTTGGCCTGGAAGAAACAATAAACGCTTTCTTAATTGCATGCCCTGGTCAAAATTTTCGATTTCCTCTAAATTCACAGAGGAGCTGGGACGACACAAACTGCATATTGACTTATGACAATCTTTTGAGCTTTAGTACAGGTTTGGCGCGTGCTAGGCTTTTGGACGTGGGTACGCATAAGGCTGGCTACTGGCTTCACGCGTATCCTTCGTCAAATACAGGAACATTTCTTGAGCCTGACACGCTCCGATTCGCAACCTGTCTAGGGCTTGGGGTTCCGGTCTGCGCTCCTCATAAATGTCCGTGTGGCAGTGACGTCGACAAGCTAGGACATCACGGGCTATCATGCCAAAAAAGTGCAGATCGCTTCTCGAGACATGCAACACTTAACGATATCATACGGCGGTCTCTTGCACCGTCAACATGCCAAGTCTACTTGAGCCGTCTGGTATTGCAATAGACGATGGCAAGAGACCGGACGGTATGAGTTTGATTCCATGGAAGATGGGCCGGGTCCTGGTATGGAATGCAACCTGTTCAGACACGCTGGCCCCTTCCTATCTACATGAAACCAACAACAGAGCTGGTGCGGCTTCTGAAGCGGCTGAAAAAGCTAAAGTATGCAAATACAGTGGTCTAGGCTCCGAATATATTTTTGTCCCTTTCGGTGTCGAGACCCTTGATCCGTGGGGTCCTAGCGCTATAAGCCTTCTTAAGGAAATAGCAAAAAGGTTAATAGACGTCACAGGAGACCGAAGAGCTGGTAGCTACCTCGGACAAGGAATTAGTCTAGCTATTCAACGGGGAAACGCTTATCTTCGGAACCTTACCTAAAGGACTTCGTTTTTAATAATATATTTTAGTTATTATAATAATATATATGTTTAAGGTTTTTAGTATTAGTATTAGAAATTAGAATTTTTTTTATATTATGTTATGTAATATTAAATGTGAATATATATGTCTATATGTACTACGTAAAAATGCGTCTTTTTATGAATCTATCAGTATTATTAAACTTACTATCTTGTTTTGAACAGATATTTGAAATACTATTCTAGTTTGAATTATTTGACAAATAAAAGTATGAAAATATAAATTACTACATTTGCCCGTGACTTTGTCCGTGTGTAATTTGGTTTACAAATCGTTTGGGATCTCTGTGATTTTCCACTACGCCCAGGCAAAAAAATCACTATGAACCCAAAGCTCTTTTATAGCATGATTGAATGACAAACCAACAAACAAATACATTTTCGCATTTATAATATTAATAAGGATATTTTAGAAACCTAATATTTTAAAAAATAATGAAGAAATAAAACATATTTATTTATTATTGGTGCCACAGAAAAACTAATATACTAAAGTAACATTAATTGAAATAATTAAAGTGCATCATATATTAAAATTAGGTCACCTACGATTAAACCTATGTTTGAGATTAAAATACGAAGTAACGTATGCTGTAATGTGCATTTATGTATAATTAATCATTTAAAATACTCGTTATAATCCCCTACAGATTCCTCCTGGCGGATTCGTCTGTTATGCATGCTGGGTTGCAACGTATAGAAATGTGCTAATGTTGAGGAAGAGCAGCAAAATCCAGGACCTTCATGTCAACATTATGGAGCTGAATGTGTGTGGTGTAAAATGTCTTTATTTCAAACGCACATTCGAATTTTACATGATGTCCCTGAAAGGGATATAGTGGCACAAAGGATTTATCCCATTCAGGTAATTAAATATGGTGTTTTCAAGATTTTATACAAACATTCTAATAATTATTTTACTTGAACACTTTTGAGTTAAGCAATTTAATTATATGTATTATCATTGGTTTACATTTTCATTGTACATTATTAAACCATTGCCTGTCCACTACTGGGCATAGGTCTCTTCTCAAAAAGTGAATGGTTTAAGCTTGGCAAGCTATACACATCTATAAGATCTGTATTGAGTATTATTACGTGTGCAGGTTTTCCTCTATGTTTTTATTAAAGTAAATGTATGGTATATAATTGCTTAAAACACACATAGAACGCAAAGAAAAGTAAGAAGTGCATGCCAGGGATTGAACCCAGTCCGGTACGCAATTCTAATTTCATCTAAAATACGACTGAAGTCTTAACTACTAAGACGATGCATATCCTGATATATTAATATACCTACTAAGATATGTCATATATTATTTCACTAAGACTATCGACGTTTATGGTCACTGGCTCATTTGTATAGTTTTAGTTTTTAAACATGTTGTTCATAACAAGTTACCTTTACTTAAATATTTTCTGTTTCAGTTACCAGAACATCTTATGTGTTGATTCCTGGGCACAGACACAAGAATATGTGCAAATTGATGAAGGCAGGGCAGTGCAGCTTGGGACACCAAAACCTTCGATAAGCCTGGCAGATGATTATAAGCATACACCAAATTCTAGTAGGCATTGTTTCGTTTCATTTTGTACGAACCCAGAGAGGCTCATTGTGCCAAATTTTTTAAGACAGAGAATTTTCCAATCAATAAAAATATATGTGACAGAAAATTAATTTCAGAATTTGTGCTGAACACCGATAATCTTTTAGAAGAAAATGAATTCTCAAGTAATTTCACACAGGAAGAAATAAAATCAATGTTAAACCTCAGCCTATTAAGGTCACATCACCACTTACCATCAATTAGTCTATTAGTCAAACACGAGATCATAAGTTAAAAAAAATATGTTACTGTTGATACTAATGACAAAATGTTGATAAAATTGTACAGCGTTAAATTTCAATTTTGTAATATCATACCTTAGGAAAACATGAACGAAACTTACTTTATGCAAAACGTACGTCAGCGATCA